TGCACATGAACTGGAATTTCCATTTTTGGATAACATTTGTAAGTGTAAATGTACCATTCGAGTTACTTCCATAAAAAAATGTTACAATGTTTGCTATAAAAGTTTTTGTTCACTGTCTTGAGTCTAAGGGTCAGAATAGTACTTTGATAACTAATGTTGAAATATTGTATATTCTTAAAAATCAGGCATTTTGTAAAATGTCCAATCAATTTGGCTTTGTATCCAGTTTGAGTTAGTAAACTCATAATGTATCAATAAATGTGATTTATTAAATTAACATTAAAATAAAAGCTAACTATATTTTATTTTATATGCACAGCTAAAAATATAAGAAAGAAGGCACAAGGGAAGACCAGAAGTAAAGAAGTAGATAAATTGATTAGGAAACAACAAACAAATGATAGAAAGCAAGAAGAAAGAAGACCAGAACAGAGGCACCAGGAAACAAGGACTGAGAGAGAAAGGAGGTCAGAAAAACATAGAGATCAAAATTCAAGAGATCCAAATCGGAGAGAGGCCACTACAAAATACACTTCAGACAGAGGTGTTCCTTCTGAACGAGATAGTTACAGTAGGGTTGCAAATGACAGAGACCAAGAAATGTACATAGATTTGGAAAATAAGCATAGTGATCCCAAAAAGAAAAGAGAAGAGAGGAGAAATTCTTTCTCTGAAAATGAGAAGCACAGACACCGAACTAAGGATAGTGAAAATTTCAGAAGAAAAGGGAGATCAAAGTCAAGGGAAAAAAATAGCAAACATTCAGGCTCTAGAAGCGATGACAACAGGTATCAGAATGGTGCTGAGAGACGATGGGAAAAATCGAGCAGCTACTCTGAACAATCCAGAGAACCAGAGAAAAATCAGGACCGGCGAAGAGAAAAGTCTCCAACAAAGCAAAAATAATTTTACAAAATAATACAAACTGAACATGCCTTACATTCAGTTGAAACAAAATATTTTTTACATTGATTGACGAACTTTATAGAGAATTCTTGTATAAAGTACTGGTTTGTATTTGTACATTTAAAAAATGTTTTCATTTCACCACATTTTATAATTGGTACATCTCAAGCCCCTCCACATAAACTTATTTGAAGGGAAAAGTTTCTCCAGAGAGTGATGTAAGACTTACTTATATTTTGTAAATAAAATGATCAAATGCTCATTGAATCAGTGATTTTTTTCATTGACAGAACATTTTCTTCTCATAATAATGTTTCCAGTTGTTTACAGTACTACTGTTCATACAGCTGCTGATGAATTATTAATGGCTTTTTATTTGTAACTGAAGACCAAAGTAATTGAACCAGTTCAGTTTAACGTTTTTGGTTTGTTAATGAGATGTTAGTTATGAGCCTATTTTTTTTTACAGTAGAGGGTTTATTGCAAGTTTCATATTATGTCTTGAAAAAAAGAGGCATGTGCAGTTTTTCTCACAAGTATTGCAGTGAAGCTAGGTGTATATCGTCTTTAAAAAGATGCACAGCTATATTGTTTATAATTAGAATTTCAGTCAGTAACATTTCTGGACTGCTAGATAACATTTAATTGAAATTCTTTGTGATTAGTGCTTTTTCTCATCCTTGAGGTTTTATCACTTTTGGTGAATTAATGTGTATTTAATTTTTAATATGGATTAATAGGTTATTGGAAAAGATATAGTCATGAAAAATGTGTACAGCCTAAGTGTGAAATAATTCCAGTTTTTAATAAGAATTTTTAAAGGTTTCCACCGTTGTAACTCTCAGTAATTAATATGTGACCATAATATTTATTACATTTGAAATAAAAATGTTGCCTCTGAGATCTTAGATTTTCTGACAGATATTTAACCTTACATATTAGATAGACTTATTGTGCTTGCTCATTTTAAAAGTACATAAAATCCATTTTAGTCAATGTCTGGGTTCAAGAATAGGGAGACCACCATCCTCATATTTGGCTCTTAAGCATACTCTGGAGCCCTGGTGGCGTAGTCGTTAAGAGCTCAGCTGCTAACCGAAAGGTTGGCAGTTCAAACCCACCAGCCACTCCTTGGAAACCCTATGGGGTAGTTCTACTCTGTCCTATAGGGTTGCTATCAGTCAGAATCGACTCGAAAACACTTGACAACAACAGCAAGCATACTCTAACACAACATGTTTTCTATGTTTCTTGTTTAAAATCCTGTGTATAATTAACAATAACGTCCATGTAAATAAAAAACGTTGCCCTCCCACCCCCCCCCAAAAAAAAAGTATTAACTGTGTGGCAACTTGGAAAGGTTCTTACTTGTGTTTTCCCCTGGGGCAGTTAAACGGTGATACCATTAGAAAAGACTATCAGGATCTCTATGAGTCATAATCGACTCAGCCGCAATGGGTATCATAGACAAGGAGCCCTGTGGCGTGGTAGTTAAGAGCTTGACTGCTAACCAAAAGGTCAGCAGTTCGAATCCACCAGCTGCTCCTTGGAAACTCTATGGGGCAGTTCTAGTCTGTCCTGTAGGGTTGCTATGAGTCAGAGTCGACTCTACGGCATGAGCCCTAGTGGCCTAATGGTTAAACACTGGGCTGCTAACCCAAAGGTTGGTGGTTCAGATCCACTCAGCGGCTCCAGGGGAGAAAGACCTGATGATCAGCTCCCATAAAGATTACAGCCAAGAAAACCCTATGGGACAGCTCTGCTCTCTCACACGGAGTCGTATGAGTTGGAATCAACTTGACGACACCTAACAACAACATCATAGACATAGTGCATTTCACAGAATTGTAAGATTAGCAAATTGGATTCAAGGAACACATAGGCTATAAGCCCTAAAGGAGGTGAGAGTTTATTTTTTTACTGAACACTGATAAACCAAAAAAAAAAAAAAAACCAAACCTGTTGCTGTAGAGTTGATTCCGACTCCTAGTGACCCTATAGGACAGGGTAGAACTGCTCCATAGGGTTTCCAAGGAGTGATTGGTGTATTCAAACTGCTAACCTTTTAGTTAACAGCCAAGCTCTTAACCACTGTGCCACCAGGGCTCTGAACACTGATAGGGGTTATAAAAAAAAAGGACTAGAAATTTTAGTTTATTTAACCTTGTTCATAACTTCCTTTCTAAATGTAAAAATGGAAACAACCCTTGTCATGGAGTACTTAAGACTTCCAAGAGTTATTATATTTTCAAAATGTAACTAATCTCTATTGAGTTCCTACTATGTGCCCAGGCCTGTCCTAGGAACTAGAGATAAAATAATGAACAAAGTAGTCTCCCTTCAGATGGAGTTTATATCATAGTGAGATGAGGAAGTAAAAGATAATAAATAAATGTCTGAGGTATTAGATGGTGATAAGTACTATGAAAAAAAGGGAAAGGAGAGTGATATGTGTGGGATGGGGGCTGTGTTGCATATGAAGGGCAAAGAATTTCTCCTAGAAGGTGCCCTTTACCTAGATATCTGAAGGAAGTGGGGGCTCATGAATTTCTGTGGGAAGAACCTAAGCAGAAGGAACAGCTGATGCATAGATGTTTGTCAATGGTAAGTGTTGACTGAAAATCCTTGTTAACATTTCCTATTCTACTTAATCAGTATATGTTTTTTTTCCTTCTATTTTATTTACTCTTACAAAAGCAATTAGCAGAACAGCTAACTACCTTCAAGTAGAAATATTTGAGTGTAAAAGTAGTATTAGGTTAAGGAGATATGGTGAGGAACTGGACTCTTCTGCCACTGAGAGATTTTTCACCTCTTAATGTATAGACAAAAAACATTTCCTATGTTTGCTGTTTCTGATTTTTAGGATCAGCTTTTATTAAGGTGAGCTGAGTTCTTGATTTTTTTTGTGAATTACACATTCTTTTTTCTCGACTTCTTTGCCTTCAAGTTTTTATTCCTCCATCCTGTTCTCGTGATCATCCCCTTTATGTTGATATCAAAGTCCATCCAACCTCTGGAATCGATCTTTCAAGCATCACTCTTTGAGCACTGCCTATCCGGCTCATCTGATTTAGTACTTCTGCTCTAGGAATTCTGTCTCCTCATTAAAACTTCTGATCTATTGACCTTACCACTGGTAATCAGTGAAATCTCTTTCCCCCCATTTGGTCACTTCCTTTGTTCCATGGTCAAAAGGCTCAACTCCAATTACACCCAACTCTTGCACCTAATATTGAGCAACTAAACATGGGTAGGTGCTGCTGGATTAAAAACATACAACCAGGTTGGCTAGTCTCGTAGCTACAAATCTTAAATGAGCACTGAATATTGCCCAACAGTTCACTACCAAACAAACCAAAAAACCCCCTGCCATGGGGTCAGTGCCGACTCGTAGCAACCCTATCGGACAGGGGAGAGCTGCCCCATCAGGTTTCCAAGGCTGTAAATCTTTATGGAAGCAGACTGCCACATCTTTCTCCCGCGGAGGGGCTGGTGAGTTCGAACCTCCAACCTTTTGGTTAGCAGCTGAGTGTTTTAACCATTGTGCCACCAGGGCTCCTAGATTGTCAGCACTTCTTGATTATGTTTGCTTTTCCACTCTTCACAATGGCTGTTTCTCATCTTGTCAACCTTCTGTATAAACCCATCTGCTGCAAAAAACATCACAGTGTGTCTCAGCTGATGATGATCTTCATATTGTATTTGAAAATAGAAGTCAGAGAGAAACTCCCTCAATTTTTCAACACTGAAACCACTGCCTTGTCCTCATCTGTGCCAGTATTCAGTCTTCCCTCCTGTTAGCATGGATGTTCTGTCCCTGCTTCTGTCAAAGATCAGTACTTCCATGTGTGCTCTGGATCCCATCCTTGCCTTCCCAGTGATTGTAGTGATCCACTCTCGTGCAACATCAGTTTTTCACTTTAATGAAACAAACATGTTCTAGTTCAGTTTTCATTTCGCTGCACTTCCCCTTAAAACATCTAGAATAGAGTTGACTGTATTCTGTTACCTAACCTGTGTCCTGTTCTGTCAGTCTACTCCACTTTGCCCTTGTCAAAGTCACTGGTGACCTCCATCTTGCCAAATCCAAGTCACTTCTTTTTCTTTTCTTACTTGACCTCTGGCATTTTACTCAGTTGACCATTTTCTAACTTTTGAAACCCTTTCTTCTCATGTCTTCTGCAACATCACATTC